TTCACCAAAAATCAGATCATCGTACCTTCTTCGATGCATTGTCGAAAAGGCTGCGGCCTAGCGGATAGAATACGTGCTCGAAAATGACCACAGGCAAGTTTGGGGTAGTTGGTACGACAAGCCTGCACACACATGGAGGTTTCCGTGCTGTCATTCCAAAGTCCGCAAAGACTTATTGCACAGGTAAAGCCAGCAAGGCGGCTGCTCTCACAGAGAACGACGAAGCAGGAACCCAGGCTGCGGTGGTGGCACTTGTGCGTTTTCTCTAGCGATGAGCTGTTGCCACACATTGACGGTGTAATATCGACATGCACGAGGATTTCCCTTTGTAGACGACGGAATATTCCTGGTGTCGCTTTGAACAGTGTTCAAGGTGGCCTGACCGAAGAACATGTATGGAAGTGCATCGCAATTCTAACCTGTGGTAGTGCTGCGTCGCCTCAGAGTGTCATGACCGATGCGTGCCGCCACTTGGGTCTCTCAGAGGTGTGTACATTGTGAACGGATGGAGAAGTTTTCCTTTGACGTCCGCGTCACAAACGTAGGTCTCACCGCGGCCTTGTCGCTGAAAGCCGTTGATGCGTGATTGAGTGAACGGTACTTTATACCTCGACAATGTATGTACAGTATGTGGGCAAATGGGCGTGAACAGCATGCTCGGCATACTACAACAAAGAGCAAGTGAAGTGGCCGTGGAGACGGAATGCACGCCATGGTATTATGGATGGGCAATACTGCATCCCGCCGATAACGAGTACGCGATTGAACCTGTCAGGTAAGCTATGATAATTCCATCGGCGCTGATTTTGGTCAACTCGATGTCTTCGCAAAAGCAGACGAGCTCGACCAAAGCCGCACCGACCCCACGATCCACCACCACGACTTCGTTTAGGGCGTGAACTGGTGGGATTGCAGGTTCAAGCGACATTTACTTTCGGATGTTACTCTGGCGAGTTGCACACGTTGTCGGCTGCCACCAAGACGCTAAGCGCTTGCGAAGCAGGAAATGCAGGTTGTGGCGGTCGCCTAAGCAGGCCATCGTCGCAATCACAGTTTACAATGTTAGGGGAGCGGAAATCGCAAAGTGAACCGAATCCATTCGATCAAGTTGGGACGACCTGTCGTCGTTTGTTAGGTAGACATGTCGAACAATTTGAATGGGGGGGCATGAAGTCCAGCTACTCCGGTTGCTGCCATACCTCCTACACAACGTTCCCGTCTGACGAAATCTCGTTCGTTGGCCGTATACAGTGAAGGAGAGTGAATGGATATCATCAGGCCAAGCAAAAAGCAGACTTACCACGGCGAGTTCACCAACAAAACTACTTCACCAAGTGGTAAAATGCTATACTTCGCAATGCTCAAAACAGCTATTACTCAGGTACATCATGGGTTGCTATGGAGATTCTGTTTTGGCATTGCATGGGGTAGCAACCTGGCCAACGAGTGGGGAATTTTTCCATCTGAATGCAGGGACAAGGCGACTGACTACTTCTGGCGAGTGTGAAGCTAGTCCACAACGGACAGAGTCCATCCATGCCAAAATGATCAACCGTCAGGAGCAGCATGTTCTGTACATCGACGCCTTCAATGCGCGACACAGTTTATGCAATAACGAATCCGTTTTACGGAGTGGGCAACCGCAACGCACCGCGATCGACCTGGAAGATTTCGATCTGCTCATTTTCAAGAGCATGCCGTGCAGCAACGAGCGACGACATGCCCCCAGCGATCGTCTATTGGACGGACACTACTCCCGCCTACACTGGAAGATTGCAGTGGTCGTATGGGATTATTATCTGCTCCTAGCACGTTGGCGGCAGGCAGTCGGCTCCCTGGCGACCACGTGCAGGTGAATCCATGCATGCCAAGAGCATATTCAGTGCACCACGGCGCGCCAACTCCTCGAAAGAAGTACGTATAACTAATGGTGCGTTGTGCCATGCACGCGTCCTTTTTTCCCGCGCAGCATGAGGACTTCTTGCTTGAGCGCGTCGATTTCCCGCGACTGGAGCTTGACGAGCTCAACCAATTTCTTGCGCTCATGCATTTCCTTCTCCAACTGGGCGCCGTCGTCGACGAGCGTGTTGTTCACGTCGGCCTGGTTGAGTTCTTTTTCGAGGCCAAACTGGCGCTCGCTCAACATGGCAATCTCCGTGAGCAAGCGCGTGTTTTCTTCGGTGGCTTTCAGAATCTCCATCTTGAGCCGTTGCTGTTCGCCTGCCACCACCAGCGTCAACGTCGACTTGTATAACTATGCAAACACTGTACCCTTGGCGTCGGTCATTTGTTTTTCGCCATGCAGCTCCTTGCTGCGGACCTTGGACTTGAGCTCGTTCAAGTTGCCCGTGTCGCACGCTTTGTCCAACAACTCGATGTCGATGAGGCGGCCAAACTTGAGCAATTGCAGTTGGTTGCATTTTTCGTTGACTTCGTCGATGAGTTCGTGTTGGCGCGTTTTGTCACGCAGCAATTGGCTTTGCTGCTTGTGCAGGTCCCTAAACACTTGACGGAGCGACTTGTTTTCGTCTTGGAGGGTCACAATGCGGTGAGCAAGGCGGTCCACAACGCTGTGGTTGAACACGAGCGCGTTGTCTACTGTTTCGGGAAGGTATAGCGCGTTTGGGTCGGTCCCAGCAGCTTCTACAGGTCTGTGAGACTACGTGCGACACGCTGAAATCGTACCCGCGGTCGCGGCGTCCTTGGGCTGCAAACAACGCAGCTGGTGTTTGCTCAGCGCGACAATCACGTCCAATTCATTGAATCGCATTTGCTTTTCCGTTTGAAACGCTTGAATGTCTTGCTCCGTGGCCGTCAGCTCCTTGTCGATTTGACGTTGTTTCTGCAACGATCATGACATGGTGACGACGACGACGACGACGACGAGGCCCGACCTGGATTTGCCGATCGTTGGACCGCTTCAAGTCCTCGATCGCCTTGGAGATGTCGCTCATCGCGTCGTCGGTGTCCGCTTTCTTTTCCCGCAGTGCCAGCACCTTCTCGTACAGCGCCATGTCGCATCCGGTCGGGCACATCTCTTCTTCGTTCGAATCGTTGTCATCGTCATCGTCGTCGTCGTTGCTGTTGTACTCGTCGTCCGATTCTACGTGAGTGCACATTACATCCCAACGAACGGTCGTCGGCCGTACCGTCATCTTCGTCGTCAGCATCGTCCTCGCTCGACCGCTTCTTCTGCCGCTTCAAGCGCTTCTTGAAAATCTTTTGAAGCACGCCAAAACACGGATGCGAGAGCCCGACGAGCGAGACAAACTCGCCCTGGACCGTGCTTTCGTTGCGCTGCCACTCCTCCATGTCTTTTCGCTTGGACGCCAACTGGTCGCTGCAGTCGGTCAACTCGCGCACGACTTGGGCCTTGTCCGTTCTACACGCAAGATTTTGAATCTTGGCACGCGGTTGGAGTCGAATCCATCGACTTACTTGCACTTTTCCAGTTTCGACACGAGTAGGTTTTCTTTGCTTTCAAATTGCTCGAGCAGCACGAGCTCGCCGAGCCGGGTCATCAGCTTGATTTCGCCCTTTTTCAGCGCAATGTCGAGCTTGAGCTTCTCCCGGCGCAAGCGATAGATGGCGTCGTCAAACGTTTGCACGGCGTGCACAATCTTGGCACTCAGCGCGCGGCGTTGGCGCTGGAGTTCCATGCACTTGATGCGGGTTTCCTCGTCTTCCAGTGGGGACCGCTCGTACTGCGGTGGCGCTGGAGGGAGAGCAAGAACAGGGTGCACGCTGACGTGTGGAGACGACGCTTTTGTCGACCGGGCCTTGTCTCCAAGACTGAATTCGGCCGGTAGCGCCAGCGCAGCGGTGACTGTCCCCTTCTTTTCGTACTCGTCGATGTGGGCATCCAAGACACACTCGCGCTGCTCGGGCCATTCACGGAGGTCCATGTGTGGCTCAAACAAGGGCAGCGGTGGAGGCATGTGGGGGACGTTGTCAGACGAGGTGGCCGTGCTCCTGAAAGCAAAGACGGATGACATTCATCAAGAAAGGCAGAGCTGCACGACTCACAAGGCGGCAGATTCAGCGTCCAGAGCCTTGATCGCTGTGTTGTCGTCCTGGATTTGCTCCATCAAACGAAGCTTCAAGTCGCGCAGCTCAAGCAGCTTGGCGTTGAATGCCATCGCCACCTCGTACATTTTTTCCTCGAGCAGAGCCATTTGCTTTCGTTTTTTCATCGCGTTGACCTGCCCCGCAACAAAATGGCACGTCATTTTTCACGATCGGCCATGCCCACGTACGCGTTGATCTTCTGGAACAACGTAATTCGCACTCGTTTTGAGTTTGTAGTCTTCCATGTGGGTGCTCGCAAATGCAATCGCCGCCACGTCGCGCGGGTCGTCGGCTTCTTCCTTGGGCTTTTTGTCTAATCCAGACGCCATCAGGGGCTGAAAACCACCACGCACTGCATGACGTTCGATGATGGAACGTCATGGCGCAATCACTGGCATGCAAGCGTACGCTCCCAAGCCAGCGTTCTCGCCTTGCGCTCTGCTCGCATCTTTTTTCGATAGTCGAATCGATGCGACGATGCTTTTGCATCGTCGGCCGTCCCGTGGACGTCGCCGCGCACCATGGACTGCCGGCGCAGCTTCGACGGTTCTTCCGACAACCCGATGGGATCGTCGTCGGCAACTTCGGCCTTGGGTTTGTGAATAAAGTCGAGCACGGTCTGCTTTTCCGTCGTGAGTTTGGCGTTCTTTGCTTGCTCCTGGAGCTCGAGGTGGATCACGCGCAGACGTTCCTGCAATTCGTCGCCCATGCGAGTCGTCCGAAACGACTGGACATGGAGCCCATTTTGAAACCCATGCAACGTGATGAGCTCGACGGCCAAGTTGCCCACGTATTTGTTGCGCATCTTCTGGAGCAGCAGCTCGCTTTGCTCGTACGCATACGCCATTTCCTTGCGGACTTCGTCGCACTGTTTGTCGCCATTCGCCATGAGCATCGTCAAGTATTCAGGGTCAATATTCCACTGCCGATCATCCAAACGCGCTAGCTGCAGGCGGCGCGTGAGCAACCGATGGCCTTACAGGTCAGAACCCGACTGTACCGGTTCATTGCGCGCGTCCAGCTCTTGCAGTTTGGCAAACTGTTCGCGCATCTCAGCGATGATGCCTCGCGTTCTACAAGTTGTCACTGTGACGCCGCTTGACGCATCATGGCGCGGCCTGCCTGGCTTTCTTGGCCAAGGCGCTGTTGGCCCGGATGTCGGCTTCAAGCTTGAGCTTGGCATCTTGGATTGTATACGCTTCTTTATGCGTGATATCTGCGGCCTCTTTGACACGTGGCCGGTCGTCCGGCGCGTTCGGATCGACCGACACCGCCGTGATGCGGGGAAATGCCGTTGGTTCGCACGCCTCCAAGAGTCTACCGATGCCAGCGCGATGCATACACCATTCGAGTCGTCGACGAGCTCATGCTGCACCGCACCTGACAACGCCGTGGTGGGTCTCCGGGTCGACGATACGATACGATTCCATGAAAGCTACGTAGGCTTTGGCACCGACATACACGGGATTCGTCATGTAAACGCTCGCGACAGGCTCATCTGCCGCGCGCACGTCGTTCTGGGCTGCCATGCGGTCATGCGCAACTTGGTACGTCCGCTTCGCCTCGCTCAGGACAAAGTCGAACTGTTGGCTCAATCGTTCCGCCGCAAGATCGAGCTTGTCCCCAAGTTAGCTTGGTTGCAAACAGGGCCACGTGGCCCTTGTCTTACCTTGGCCGGATGGACGCGAACAATCGAAAGTTGTCCGTCAGACCCGCCCGACAGCACGACATTGTCATCGAACGACATGGCGACGCACGCCGTGCCATTTGTGCCCTGGGGGGACTCGAATTAGGCGACACGTGACTGACCAGCCATCAAGAATGGGATATCCGTACTTGGTCGTGAAGCTCCCATGTGAGCGCTCCATACGGCAGAGCCCGCGATCGGAGGTGCACTTTGCCGTTCACGTTGCCAGCAAGCACGTACTTTTTCGAGTGCGACAACGTCAACGTTTGAGCAGCGCCGAGCGCGTCGTCGGGATAGGCACCGAGCGGAAACGGCGAGCTCCAGTCGCATTTGTAGAGTGCCCCTGCATGGATGCCACCCACGCTGACCTACGTCGTGCGCCATGAGTCGAAAACAGGTTCAAGACAGGCCACCGCGATGGCCAGTCGCACGTACGAGGAAACAGTTGACAGACGAGCAGCAGTACATGGCCGCGAGCACTGGTGGACTCAATCCCAGGCCCACTTCGACTTCGCCAAACGAGATCGCGGTCGACACTGGCGTGGGGTTGTAACTTGTCGGCTTGACTGCATCCACCGACGAATCTAGGCGGCATCGCGCGTCAACAGGGCAGGGACAGAGCTTGCACGTGTACCTGACGCCAACGCGACGAGTTCCTCCGTGTTCAACTTGCGCACGCGGCGAAACACGAATGTCTTGGTCGGCAACTCCAATTCGTACGTGGCGCGCTCGGTGTCACTGACGGTTGGCATGTCGATCTCCCTGCACGTCGCACATGAATACCGTTCGACATGGCTAGTGGCCAGAAGTACCCGATCACGCCGTTTGCGCACGTCACCAAGAGCGCGGTCGAGTCCCAACGCCACGACAGGTGGCGCACGCATTCGTTGTCGGCAAACGTTTTGAACCCGACCGGCTCGTACTTGGACGCGCTAACGTAAACTAGTCCCAACGATCGAATCGAATCGGCAGTACCTCGACGCAAAGATGAAGAGCGTGTGGTCTTGGCTCGCCGTGACAAAGTATTTGCCATTCGGAGAGTACGCCATGCACGCAATCGGTTGACTGTGCGGCTTGATCACGTGGAGCCGTTGCCAGCTACATGTCATTGTCCCATCGGTGACGAACACGCGCGCATGCAGAAGTGGCCGTACGACGAGTGGCCGCAGTCCAAAACGCGAACGACACCGTCATGGAATGCCACGGCGACCGTGCGTCCGGTCGGGTCGTGCGACGTTGGCGCAAACGTCAACGCAGTGGCCGGTGCATTGAACCGCTGGGTGAACATGCACGCCGACGCCAGGTAATTCCAGCAGCGCACGGTGCCGTCACTGCCGCATGTAGCAGCAATGTGCTCGATGGGCGATGTGGCCAAGCCCGTGATCGCACCGGCATGGCCTTCCAACAAGTGCGTCACCTGGCAAGATATCATGACCTTGTCCAGGTCGTCCAAGTTCGTACTTGTTTCGTATCGAGGTCCAAGCGAAGCAGCATGCCGTTTCCATCTTGAATCAAGTAATGGTCGTGTCCGCGGATAACCCCGCGAATGTCTGCGACTGTCGTCGCATGGTGGGGACTCTTGACCGTGACGCAAAACTCGTCCTTGGGGATCACTTCTGCGACCGAGTCGTCTTCCTTGACATCCGCTTGGTCGATTTCGGGGAAATGCCACCACTTCATCATGCCATCGCTGCCTGTGTGGCGCGCGATGGTCTTTCCATGAGTGGTGCCACGGATTGATTGCGACATACCTGCGGTGAGAATTTGATTCCACTCGGGCTCGTACTGCACGACGTGAATCGGTCCCTTGTGCGCGCGTTGCCGATTGTACGTGACGATTTCGCACTTGATAAAGTTGCCTGCATACGGCGGCAACGTTTAGAGTCGCCGTGGCGGTCGAGAGCGTTGGAAGAATTGATGCACGCACCGTCCCAAAGCAACAGCGCGCCGCGTTCGGTGGAGCTTAGCACCTTCTTGTCCGGGAGAACGCAAAACGCTTCGATGTCGCTCAGCTCGGACTTGCCAAACTTGGCAATGTCGCCTTGTAATTTCAATCCCGTGAACGTCGACGCCATTTTCCAAAATCGAATGTGCCCCGTCCCGCTCGTGGTCAAGAACCCTCCGTCGTTTGGAGCGAATTGCACGTTGAAAACTTCTTGGCCAAACGCTTTGCATCGCAAGATCGTCTGTTCATCGCGCCAATTCCAGACGGTCAACAAGAAATCCGGTGACGCTCCGACGGATGCGAGTTTCGAGCCATCGTTGCTACGAGAGTCCATATCAGCGGCGTGGCCGGAATCGCATCCCCCACACCGGATTACCTGAAGCGCAGACTGCAGTAGGCGCGCTCGGTGCCATGACGCAGCACGCGAAACACCTTCAACGACGGGTAGACGTAGATGGCAATGGTTGGTTTGCTGCCTTTGTCGCCAACAGCAAAAAAGCCCTTGGACGGATGCACTGCAATCGCTCCGACGCCACCACCACACAGTCCGAACACGTACTTGGTTTTCATTGTGGGCACGTCTACGATGCGACAGTGAGTGGCCTCACACCCGACCACGATGTTCGAACCTATGAGCTGAGCAGTGTTTCCCGCCGACGTGAGGATGGTGCTGTCGTCCAGGTAATGCAAATTGTTGCGCTTCTTCGCTTCAAAGCCCCGCATGGCGGAAAACGCCACCAAGTCGCGCGACAGCTCCCCCTCGAGTTGAGGTCGGCATAATTCCTCGAGCGGGTAGAAGAAGTTCTCGTCCAGGACACGTGGCGCGGTCGCTGCACCGTCAGCGTCGTTACCTGGCATGTTGCTTCACGTGAACCGTGATGCCCCCTCGCCGCGACCTTTTGGTTGTGCCAGTTACGTGGCGCCGTTACAGTTTTCCCGTCAAATCTTATAAAGTCCACAAAGCACCGTCATGCACCCCCTCGCCGCTTCTCGGAGTCGCTTTCATCAAAGAACTGCCAGCGTTGTGGACACGTGCCACGCGATTGATTCCACGCACGAGGCCAGTGTTGACTCTGCCCCCTTTGTCATGTCGTTGAGCTCGCGATGCCAGTCCAAGTTGACACATTGTACGGGGATAGTTTGATGCGACAAGAGCACTCGACTAGAGTCCATGTCATCGTGTTGTCGGCAGCGATGGATGCCGTTGTATCCTGCTCGCGAATCCACACGCGAAGCATTCGCGAGCAGGTGCACGCAACTGGCATTGCTTTGCACAAATGCGACCGCAAGCAAGGGCATGACCCCGTTTTCCCATGCATCATAACCGAGTATCGACAAACGACATCAAATCCGACGGTTCACCGGGACATCGTTGAGAACTCGCGAATGTTACTCGGAAATGGCTTGAATTACTACGACTTGTCGATGGGGTTCCGTGGTATGAGAACTGCTGGACCATCCCTGGCCGAGGGGATCCACTCGGGTTCGACGATGCCGTGCTAAAAAGTTGAACAGCTTGATAAACTCCTGCAGTCGTCGGGCTGGATCTCTTCCGAGCGATCGGCTGCGGCCATATTCGCTCGCACGATTCGTTGCAACATCTAGAGCTGCACCTTCGCCGCTCCCGCCGCTGCCTACATGACTATCGTGATGCAATGCTCCAACGACAGCTGGCCGAGCGAGAAGTGAAGTTTGAAAATTCGGCCGAAATACTTGAAAAAATTCCCAATTGTTTTCACGTAATCCCATCCTAGAATCGGTTTGGTTCAATTCCGTCAGCGCGATCCAACAACGATGGACATCACGGATGGCATCGTGTGCGTGACAAAGCTGACCGAGCTCCCGTGGCGGTTGGACTACACCATCGAGAACACAACTGCGCACGCGTACGAAGTCGACCTGGACTTTGCGGGATCGTCCAATTTGGTGGTGGTCCGCGAAGACTCGCTTGTGTTCCGCGGATCGCTGCGACCGTATGCAAGAGTTACGACGGCGATTGTACGAGTGCATCCGGCGGAACGGTGTGCAGTATGCGTCAACTACTACGTCCGTCGAATCGAAGAAGCGGCAGTGGATAGTCTTGATGACTCTGCTCTTGATCAAGCAGGGACTGCCACCGACGATGCCTGTATTGACGCATTCTTTCACGATCCGACGTTTCCACCGACTCCAACATGCCTTGGCGAACTCGGGGGCGCTCCGGCTACGAAACGACTTGTACCTACCTTGACATGGACGCACCTCTCGTCTCTGTACCCTTCTTCATGGACCATCTTTCCTCGATCACCCACGATACCCACCTCCACTCTCTGCGGCGGCGATCCCACTTTGGTATCCGCTGACACAAGAAGCGCGTTACAGTTCATCGGCAGTCGGCCCAGCTTTCTAACGGCCTTGTTTTCTCAAACAAATGGCGTCAACGGCCACGACCATCGCTATGTTGTGTGCTTACATCACGATGGCAAACCGGTGCGGGTGACGGTGGACGGATATGTGCCGTGCTTTGGTCAGACCGGCGGCCCTGTCTTGATGAAGTGCATCTCGGGGCATCTTTGGCCATTGTTACTCCACAAAGCACTGGCGAAACTCTATGGCGGGTATGTGCCAATGTTTCAAGTGTCTGCACTTCAGCTCCTCGAAGACATTTTTGGCTATCCAAGGTACTCCGAATATGGGTCCATCCTCTTGCATTAAACTCGCAGCAGTGTGGACGTCTGTGCCGTTGGAGCTCGTGCCACGACAATCGCCGCCGTGGCCAACTTGCTTCGACAAGGCCATTTGGTCGGTGTGACTGTTTCAGCATCCAGCGGTAGTCGGCATGGCCTACTTGTGAATGCCAACCCCTCGACTGGTCTAACGATTCGAAGCTACCCCGCCGACCAAGCGCTCCGTTCAGACATCATCACGTACGGACACATGTCTCTTGCCAGTGGAATCATCCCCCGTCCCCAGTGTTCCTGACCAAGAGCTGCATCGGCGACCATGATTTGACTGTGACTCGAACGAAATTTGCGTAGGACGGTTGCCCTTCAGGATATTCCGAGTGCACTGCGCGCGTGGTGGTGTTTTCCTCAGCTGTCGCGTCCACAACAAGTCGTTCGACGGTGTTTTGTTGTCGACGCCACGGCATGCACAAGTGCGTCGGCAGCCATGTTTGCATGGAGTATTCCGTCTCCATGCACCGTCATGGTGAGCGCGACGTACGACCAGCACGTCCATGACGCGGGGATATCCATCTTGCACGTGTCGCCTTCGAACCACTTGACCCCCGTCAAGGCTACCTCCACAAAGCAAGGAATTCGTGCACGATCTTGCAGTGTGCGTCTTCTGGATGGGATGTTTGTCCATACGGTCATGGGTAGATTGTGTTGTCGGTGGAACCGGGCGAGTACGTCATGGCGCTCAAGCCAGTACGGTGGTCGACATTGGAATCGCCAACACGAAATCGCATGGACCGAATGTTTGACATGCTGGATGCGGACGTGGACGATCGGTTGAGTTTGCAAGACTTGGAACGGTTCATGACGGTACGGATGACGACCGTGAGTGTACAGTTTGTCCATCGATGTTTTCAGCCTGTGTTGGGATGCTGGAGCTCTTTCGTGAATATCGTGGTTGGATTGATAGTTGGTAGGTGTACGAGGACGGGTTGCCGCTCTCGACGCGATCGTTTGCATGGCTCATGGAGCAATTTGATTCGGACGGCATTGGGCTGACTCGAAAAGGCCTGGGCGACTTGTACACGGCCAACCAACTCGACACGTGGCTCGATCGTGAAAAGGCGGTCTGGGATGAACCGTCGATTCCGTGCATGGTGAATTTTCAGTGCACTTGCATGGTATGCAAGAGCATCATCCCTGATCCGATTTCGACATGGTTGCAATCGTAGGAGGACGTCGTATTTGTGCAAGTGGACCACCGATGACATCGTCATGGACGAGGCGGTCGCACGACGCTGTACGTGAAATTGACGTCTAGATGGCCACCCACTGTCGTTTGTTTTCAACGGTGCGCCTTGTACACGGCTCAGAATTCTTGTGTGTTGTGCGAGTGTGTGCAGGATTAAAGTAGCTTTTCGTCAGCATCCACGACCGCCCCTTGGCGCGGACAACGCGCTTGGCGTGGTCGTCCCATGAAGTTGTTACTTGAACCGTCAGTCGTACGTGTTTGGACATATCACATGCAAGCGCTTTCGATTGCCAATAGCGCACTGCAGTGGCAGCAAACGAACGATTAACTCGGCCTCGCCATGTTCGTGCGGGAGGTACAATATTATCCCAGGGAGAAATCGCTCGGTCCATGCTACTTGCGCAGTTTGGAATCCAAGGTCAGAGTCACTGGGCCATCGCCAACCTAGTTGACATCTTTCACACAACACTCTTGTCGCCATGCAACGTACGATAGAGACTTCCATGTACGCTCCAAACACGCCTTCCTGAATCTTCTCGGGGCTTGGATGGGCAGCACGCATCCGTGTCACGAAGTTGTCGAACAAGGCTTTTGCTGGCTCTGGAGACACTTTTTGCATCTGTCAGTATGCTGATTGCTTTGCTACATGAGAAAGGGGCTCATCGTGGCGTACTGGCGAGGTGGAAGTCTGGTTTGTTGCCGGCGAGGTATCCATGGAGTGTGAACTGACTCACGAGCAACACCTGGAAATTGTTTTGGAGCGCCGATGTCGTCCAAGGTTTTCCTTCTTCGTTGGGCCACAACCGAGAGTTCTACAACGTCGTGGACATCGCGAGGTTTTCAAGCAGAGGAGGTCGTGTGACGATCTCACCAGAATTCTCCGGCAGCACCATTCAGCGTCGTCTTCTGTGTCATCCCGACCAATGCCAACAAGGCACACTAACCCCCTGCCGATCGAGCCTACGACCTGCTCCTCCACTCGGACGCACCCGCTTGTTACGCGCTGCACGACCACCTTCATGTCGTGCCGCCTTTCGTGTTGAAAAGACGATGCCGATTACAAAACCTTTGCAAATGAATAATATTCAAAACGACAGGTCTCAAGTATCAGAAGTTTCTCCTCCGGTTGGCACAGTGCGCGAAATAATTATATGACATCTTCAGTTTATCGCGATTAATATTAAATAAAAAATACATCAAGACTTGGAATTGTTTCCCATGAAGGGTATACCTCCAAGTGCAATTGCTACAGTACAATACAGCCGACGAGGTTGAATTTGCAACATTTATGCACTGACACCACACGGCAATCTCTCTTTTACGACGTAGGGCATGGTCAGATCAAAGCAATTGTCAGCGCATCTCCACAAAGCCAAAATTTTCATGTGCGTGTGAACCTGGGGTGGTAAAAACCCAATTTTTTTCGCCTGACAAATCGGGTTTAACGTTGAATCATTAAAAACCGATTCCAGGGAATTAAAACCATGGCTTTATTCCGGGTAATTTTAGTCGAGGCTGGCATGTCCGGAATTACTCTCGCTGGTGTAGTTGTCGCTCGGACAAGTGTAGAACGCACTCATTTTGCTCTTGATGAGCACGAGCTTCTCAACAGTCTTGGCGCTCAGGAAGTTCCTCAACTTGGAATGGATGAAGCCCATCGTTTAGATGTTTCGCTCGGGCGCTGCACTAGTCGTCGCCATACTAAAGTGAAGGATCACGACGATTTGCAAATCTCCCCAGTGACATCCATCAGTCTGCCAGTACTGCAACACGGCCTTCGGTCCCTTGGACAGCATCTGGTAATGGAAGGAGTTCGCCTCACAACGATGTCGGACATGATCACAAGTGCCATGGAAACTTCCAATTAATTGCCCACCTCTCAATTAAAACCCGATTTTCCGAATAAAACCCGATTTTGTTCGACCTCAGATAATCGGGTTTTATATTAAAACCAAAAAAACACGATTGCAAAAAAACAGGGTCTGCGACCCACAGACACATTCCTGACATAAAGAGGGTGGGTTGACCACGTACTTAATCGGGCAATGTGACGGAGGAATGTCTTCCGGAGCACAAGACAAACGGGCCAGGCAATGGTTGATGTGGTTTTCGCCTTGAACGAAACGGTGGGTTCCCAAACGTGCGAGGGATATGCGATCACATCGCGCACAGCTCATACTTTCGCTGGGTTGAGGATTTCTGCAACCCAGTAGGAATAACTCTGTCGCTGACCATATAGCCGTGGTCAGTCCACAGCACTTGTTAACATTGGACTTTAATCGAGGTAACACTCAAGTTTTCCGGGACGTTTTCTCTGTGAAACAAGCGCAACCTTTGACAGGTTTCGTATAAAACGTCCCAGCATGAAGTATGTGTGGTACATATGTTCCAAGAATATTAGACCTTAAACCCAGTGACTGTGTTTCGAAATGAATGAAAGGAGAGGGTTCTGTGAAGCACTTTGGCGCTATTGAGTGCCTAAGTTTGGTGCTCATTGAGTTGATTTGTTTTTGTAAAGAACATGTATTGACATGATGCAATGGGTATTTCTCACGTTCGTCCAACGAGTGGAAATATTTCTACGATCGTCCAAGTTGAACGCTCACGAGTTATTTTTATTCCATATCGTCCACCGCGGCATGATTGGCTAAATGTCTCACGAGTTGGAAGTAAATCCCAGGTGGGTTTTAGTCCTCACGTTTCCAGAATTTCAGCGGCCCCCAGCAACCCCGACCGTCCCAGCTGTCCACGACGCCATACCGAGCGCGACAGCCACCGAGAGGTATGACTCTGCGACTTTCGATCTATACTCATGTACATATGGTCCTTCATGCTAGGCATGCGGCATCTGTAGCCCACGCGACCCCCTTCCCGACCGCCGCAGGCCTCCCCCGATCACCAACGTCGAGCGCCGCCGCGATTGACTACGCCACCGAAGTGAGCCGATGGCACCCATTCAAGGTAACGTAGTGAATCAGTCATCGGCCGGTGTAGCAGTGATCGGCCGCTTTGCCTTGACGAATCATAATACAAATATTCATCTATTGGTCAAAATTCAGACCTCCAACAAAGAATTCCTTCAGTAATGAATTGGGGGGAAATATATCCACTTCAAGAGGTGCTCATCTTTGATTTGCAAAATGGCGCCAAAGACGACGTACTCTGCCGAGGACATGGCCACAGCAGTGCAGCAGGTCATAGACAAGGTCGACACTTCAATAAACATTTCGATCGGATTTGGCATCCCTATTCGTACACTGCGCAAGCATGTTAAAGCGTTCAAAATCGGAGGCAGCCCTCAAGACCAACGTCGAATGGGCCCAGCCACGATCATACCAAAGTCATTCGAAGATGACCTTGCGACATGGATAGTAGCCATGGAGGCTGATGGTCACGCCGTCAACTGCACGCAAGTTCTTGGGAGGGCGAAACACATTGCAAAGGTCGTTCACGACAGAGATCTCAATCTCACTCGGGGTTGGTACTACCGCTTCCTGTCACGCCACCCACAACTTGCAACAAAAAAAGCCGCCGTGTTGTCGTCAGCAAGGTCATCCATCACTCCGACCTCGGTCGCCGACTTCTTCCATCAATTGGTGCACGCCTTGTCAATGGTGTCCATGGACCCAACAAGAGTCTTTAACATGGACGAGACGAGCTTTTCCCCTGGGAAGACTACTCCTGTAGTGGTGGCCCGCAAGACAACAAAACGGGCCATCGTGACTGAGGCTTCCATGTCCTCTCACATCACCATCGTCGCTTGCGTTGGTGCCGACGGGACCAAAATACCTCCTCTGTTTGTGTTGCCTGGGGATCGAGTTTCAACTGAAGTTTGCGAGAGTCTCAAAATTCCTGGAGCTGCCGTGACCACCTCCAAGAAGGGTTGGACCAACTCGTATATCTGCCGCAAGTGGCTCAGCATGCTCCACGATTCAATACCTGCCTCAGTTGCACGACCCATTCTGTTGATTGTCGATGGATGCTCGTCCCACTACTCTGACCACATTGTTGTGGAGTGCCAGCGCCTTGGCATTCTGCTGCAGTTCCTTCCTGCAAACTCGACGCACCTCTTTCAGCCGCTGGATGTGGCTGTGTTTCGCCCCTTCAAGAGGTCTGTACGATCGCTCATTGCTGATGATATGTGGCACGAGGTTGCAACTTCCGTTAGCAAGCAGAAGGCCATATCCATCGCGTGTGATGTTTGGGATTCCTCAACAAAGCCCTCTACGATCGTGTCGGGATTTCAAGCCACCGGTTTATGTCCTCCCTCTCTGGACGCTATGATGTATCGACTTTCGCTTTTTCAACCTCCTCCAATGCAAGAAGACCATGTCCATGAGCTCTGGCTTTCTCGTCAATCAGACATCCGAAGCAAGGTTCTTTTGCTCCCACCCAAGAAGAAGATGAAGGCCAAACGGAAGACTTTGACGGTGAGCGGCATGTTCATTACAGCAGAGTACCATGGATTGCTCCAAGCGCAAGCCGAGGAAGCCAAAATGAAGAAAAATGAGCAATCCAATGAAGCGAAGTCGAAGAAGCAGGTCAAACCAACTTTGTTGCCAAAAAAGAGGCCAATTGAATCTGTAGTTGTGTAGAAGAACATGATGTTTTTGTTTGATTTCTGTATAGCATACAAAAAGTGGAATCTGGGTGTGGCGTCATCACCAAGGAGAACGATCATCCTTATAGCGTGTCAAAGCATGACTACATCAACTGATGCAATTTCCTACCCCAAATGTACATCTATTGGTGGGCCCATAATAATGTTCCGTACTCCGGCGATGTCCAATGAGATCAGTGGAAATCGCGCGGTACCGGTCTTCACATTGTCCTGGGGTTCAATCCCCTGCTAGGACAATACTTTTCCCAAGATCCAAACCTGCAAGCACTTGTACCTTCTAAAAATAGATAATTCTTTAATAATTTATATTTCGGAGGCCTCACTTGAGTTGAATTATCGAAAAAAAGTATACAAACTTCAAGTAAAAAAGCGGTCTATGACTGATACACATCGAAAACGCACTCGAATAAAAAATTACTCTCCTTCGGGAACTTCCTGAATTGATAATTGCGTCTTAGCATTGAAAAGCCCTTGATTTTCCGCAC